TACATGGGAACACCATGTTGCACTACTGGCCTCAGACACCTCCACCTCTCACAACAATGGGCAGTACATCCTCTACCCCAGGGAAGAGACTAAATCCTCCTTTTGGAGACACTGATTTTCTAACTTTTTGTTGGTTGTTGCTGTGACTCTGGGCTCGCACTCTGGACTCCCTTCAGTTCCCAAAGTCTTTGTCATCTGTTGAAAACCTTCAGATGACACACACACACACACAGAGAATGTAGTATAGATAGATTATTTCAGAGAGGAGAGCACACTGGAGTTGTAGAGTGATAACAGGCAGAGGGACCATCTTCATTGTAGGTAGGTTTCATACTATTTCTGAAGTCTCTGAGTCAAGCAGCTTTCCTGGGGCCTTTTGTCCTATTCAAGTGGTTAGCCCATGCAGGAGGCAACAAAGCTATAGCTTTGTTATTTATCAAAAAGGTTCCTGTTAAACAATAATCTTATAAGGTTTAGGGACCCAGAAACCAGGTCTAGGTAGATATCAATCAGTGAACTCGAGGACAGTTCAGGATGCCATGTCTGTTCTCAGGGCCAGAAATTTGACTCAGATCCCATTCCTCTGACCAGTTACTGGAGTCCTGAGGTTCTAGTTCTTAGCTTTACAAGCTGTGATTATGAGGAAGAAGTCCAGCCTTGATGTGCTAATCCTGCTTATATTTAACTAGCAGCTGTGATAAAAATCCCTGCAAAAAGCAACTTAAGGGAAAAAGGACTTATTTGACTCCTGGTTCAAGAAGATACAATCCACTACAGTTGAGGAAAGCACAGTGCCAGGAATAGGAGGCATCAGCAGTCAGAGCTCAGGCCAGAAACAATGCCTACCTCTCAGTGACCCACTTCCTTTAGCTAGGGCACACCTCTTAAAGGTCCCAGGACTTCCTAAAACAGCACCACCCGCTGGGGGCAGATGTATTTCACATTCAAAACATGATACCTATCTCAGGTAGAAGATATGTAGACAACAGGTGTTTTCAAGTTCCCATTAAAAACAATGGCTAGGCATCTGAATGGTTCATTTGATGTTTACCTCTGCCTAAGCCATAGTGCCTAGACATTTGGTGAGACATTATCCTGGACATTTCCTTGAGGTTGTTTTGAGATGAGATGAGATGAGATGAGATGAGATGAGATGAGATGAGATGAGATTTTGATTTAAATTGCTTCACTTTGAGCAAAGCAGCTCTTGTCCCTTATAATGTGGGTGAGCCCAGCTCATCAACTGAAGTTCCTAATACAGCAAAAGGTTGACATGGGGTAAGCACAGGGTGTTCTCCAGCAGACTCACTGGACTTGGATAGCATTAGCTCTCCTGGGGACAGGGCAGACTGCCTTCAGCCTTGAACTACAACTCTTCCCTACATGTGCAGCCTGGTGGCCACCCCAGTCACATGTGAAGCTTGTAGAATGTAATTTAGCAACCAGTTCCTTAATGTCAAGCAGTAGTTGCATAGTTTAGTCTAGAAAGAACGCACTGAGTAGGAATATAACCAAAAATGGTGATGAGAAAATGACCTGGGGCTGATTAGAAGGGGAAAGTGACCTTATCTGCTGAGCAAGGGAAACGCAGTGAAATCTAAAATCCGTAGGACAGGATGTAACTGTGTGTGTTATTTAAGTCTAAAATCAGTAGGTCAGGACGTAACTGTGTGTGTTATTTAAAGAATAGTGAAGAAATCACTAAAAAAGAAAAGGCCATTTGTGTCTCATGAAGGAACATAGTTGTTGTTTTGCATATTACGTTTTCTAAACATTGTACTATGTGTTTTACTTTATTTTTTAAGACAAGATCTAATGTGGCAAAGCTAGCCTTGACCTCCCTGTGTAATCAATAATAGTCTTGTACCCTTGATCTTTCTGCTCTGCCTCTGAATGTTAGAATTAAAGGCATGAATACTTAAGAATTTAGCTATATAAAAAATGATTTTCTAAGCATAATTTAGTATTTTGAAAATAAACTTCATAAACTGTAGTTAGAAAAATACCTAACACATTCTCTAAATATATCTCAGGAAAACACCTAAAGGTTTTCTAATATGTAAATATTTTAAAATATTAAACTAACTTTACCTCAGCAAATTTTAGAAGCAAGTGTATTCCTTAAGTTGTCTTTTACTCCATGCTTAACAAGATCTTTTAGATAAGGAGATAAGATTTTATCTTACATAATAGTTATATTATAGCTATAATAGGATCATAGCAATTTCAAAGCAATATTTCTCTTTAGTCATAATAATATTTATACTTCATTTGGAAGTTTGTTCTAAGAATTAAATGAAAATTAAGTCAACGGACAGAGACTTCTTTAGCCAGACCTTATCAGTGCTGCAGACCTGTGAGGGCTTGCTAATGTGCCACACCAAACACATTCAGTTTGCCTCACTTGCAGTTGGTTGCTGCCAGTTTTTGATGAGAATTTGTATAGCATCTTGAAACCATTCAAATGTTTTATATTTCACTACTTTTATAAAAAACAAAACAAGAGTCCCTCAGAATAGTAAACATATTCCAACTGTTTGAAGTTCTAACTCTTTAGTAAAACTTTAACACAAATTTCATTCATTCTACAAGGTAACAGCTAATGAATGTTTTCAGTAATAACCAATTACTGAATGAAGGAGATAAGCATATACTTTTCAATGGGAGTTAATTATTCTGATTACCTTATAAAGAAATTACAGTTCAATAATTTGCCCAAAGTGAAAAGCCAGTTGATAGATTTGGGAGGTATGTTGTACTTGGCCTTTAGAAGGAGGCAAGAGCCACAAGGAGGAAATGAAAGGTTAGTATTTAGATAGCACACATGCACGCACGCGCACACGCACATGCACACGCACACATAAATCTTTCATAGTTCAGGGTTCAGTAGAGTCCTTCAGCTCTTCTCACTACTGTGTAGGATGGTTGATTTCAAGTGTTGGTCACAATTCATCAAAGAATAGAAAGTTCAACACAATGGAACACTAAGACATTCAAGATTTTGAAGAATTGAAACAAACAGAAAAGCTATATCTGAAAAAAAAAACCCACAAGATTGAATTCTAAGTTTGTATCTTCCTTAGTGTTGTGGATAATTAATGCTTTATTAGATTAGCCGTGCTATTGTAGTTAAAAAAAAAAACAGAAAAAATAAATTGTTTTCTTTTTGTGCCTTTAAAGCCAGAAGCAAAAGTGGACCAAGAAACCTTAACAGAAATGGTGAAACCTAGTATTGATTATGTGCGCCACAAAAAATTCCGATCTGGAAACTACCCATCTTCATTAAGCAATGAAACAGACCGATTGGTCCACTGGTGCCACGGTGCTCCAGGAGTCATCCACATGCTCTTACAGGCGTATCAGGTGAGTGCTCCTGTGTTACCCTAAGTGTCCAAGGGCAACCATAGTCTGCACCACCAAGCTCTCAGGTTGCTTCGGCAAAGCCCATGCTAGTGTACATTGAAAACTAGTTTTAAATTTTGATCTCTGTGTTAGTGCGAGTACACATGTGCCAGGTCCTATGTATAGAGCTCAGAGGGCAACCTTGGGTGTAATCTCTGTGTTCATGTGAGCACGCATGTGTCAAGTGCTGTTGGTCTTTGCCTTCCGTCATGTCTGAGCAGGGTCTGTTGTTGTTCTGCTGCTGTGCGTGCTAGGCTAGCTGGCCTGCGCACCTCTGAGGATTTTCTTTCCCTTGCTTCCTTTCTCCTGATTGGTGTGCTGAGATTACAGATGTGCATTATCACAGCCACCTTCACATGGATTCTGGGGGTCTGAACTCAAGGCCTCATGTTTATGCAAGAGCTTTAACTACTGAACCATCATCCCCACCTCACTTTCCACCTTTTAATTTAATTATTTGTGTATCTGTGTACATTGTGTGATCATGTATGTTTAGGTACATATGAGTGCCCATGTATTTAAAGGCCAGTGGTTAGCCTTGCAGCCTGATTTTTTCTGGATTTCTCACAGCCCTAGAACACACTGACTGGCTAGACTGGCTGGCCAGTGAGCTCCAGGGACCAGCATTTCTCCACCTCCCCAGCACCAGGATTACAAGCCAACAAATCTCACTTATTGTTTTAATTATACATATAATTTTTGAGATTTTAAAATAATGATATTAATTCCCCTTTTCCCTTTCCATACTCTGGTACCTCCCATGTATCCCCTAGCTTTCTTTCAAATTTATGGCCTCTTTTTCCTTAATTGTTGATATATGTATATATATTCCCTAATATATAAATACAGTGAGTTCACTCTATGTGACATTACTTGTAAATGTGTTTTGGGGGCTGACCATTTCATTTTGGATAACCAACTTCTGTGTTCTTCCCTGAGGAAGACTATTTCTCTTACTCTCAGCATTCCTCAGTTTAAAATCTGGAACAAGGCTGGGCATAGAGGTGTACTCCCTTTAACCCAGTACAAGGGACACAGAGGCCAGGAGATCTCTGTGAGTTCAAGGCCAGCCTGGTCTACATAGTAAATTTCAGGCATACATAGAGAGACCCTATCTCCAAACAAAATAAATAAATAAAATCAGGACTGAGGCAGGGTCATTCACTGTCCCCACTTATTTTCAATATAGTGTTTGAATCACTAGTTAAAACAGCAAGAAAAAAAAGTAAAGGGCCACAAGTCAGAAAAGAAGTCACACTATCCCCATTTGCAGATGACCTGCTCTCATACATAGGAGATCCCAAACATCCCACTAGAAAACTTCTAGAAATAATAAAAACTTTCAGCAAAATGTCAGGATACAAAAATCAACTTGTAAAAATTAGTAGCCTTTCTATACACTAACAACAGACACATAGAGAAAGAGATCATGGAATTGATACCATTCACCACAGGAAAAAAAAGACGAGAAAAAGTAGTAATAAACCTAACTAAGGAGGTAAAAGACCCCTATAGTGAAAACTTTAAATCTCTTAATAGAGAGATCGAAGAAGACATTAGAAGATGGAAAGACCTCTTATACTCACAGATTGGTAGAATAAATATTGTGAAAATAATCATCCTACCAAAACCAATGTACTAGGAAACAAGTATATAAGGATGGATGGATGGATGGATGGATGGATGGATGGATGGATGGATGGATGGATGGATGGATGGAGCACTATACTAGGGTGTATATAGATGGTCTAGTATATATCTCAGCGCCTCTTGCCCTCTTGAGGACTTCACACAGGAACTTCCTGCCACATGTTGCCTGGCCTTGGTGGCTCTCTGAAACTGTGGAGGATGATGCAGCAACTTCTTAACAAGCCTTGGCTGTAACACTGTTTCCTAGTGCTCTTTTTATCTTTAAACAGCATTTGCTTTTCTTTTTGCTCCACTTGCTCTTGCTCACTGTGGAGCTGCTTAATAGTCATTCATAATGACCGTACCACATATTTAATATTATGCTGGCTTCAAATTGCCTCTCCCAGAGAAATTAGTCTACTACTTAATGATTCAGCCTAAGGTAAGTTGTTAAGATGAGGGCAGAAAGCGCCAGCTTCTTTACCAATCTCATATAAATGGCCAATTAACTAGGAAACAAACTAGTGTATATGTATTTCTTAGTGTGTATATAGAGATAGATAGATAGATAGATAGATAGATAGATAGATAGATAGATAGATAGATAGATAGATAGACAGATAGACAGACAGATAGATGATACTAGATATGCTAGTATATTTAAAGGTCCTTGCTTCCCTCTGAAGACCTCTTGAGCTCTACTGCTACAGTCTACTTTTCTCTTCACAATCTCTCAAATTCTGCTAGGATGGCCCATTAAGCCCTGCTTACAGATGGAACCACTTTTCTAGTCCAAAGTCTCAAAGAGTTCACCATTCCTTGAAAAAAAGAATACATCAGGTTCTTTACAGCAATGTCCCCACAGTTCTGGTACCGGTTTCTTCTGTTAGTTTACTTTTCTACTGCTGTATAAAGCACCGCGACCAAGGCAACTTATAGAAGGGGTGGTTTGTTTGGCTTACCGTTCTTCCTGGCAAGGAATCATGGGAGCAGGCAGCAGCAGCCATGGTGGTTGGAGTAGAAGCTGGAGGCGCCCATCCTGAACTGCAGAAGCAGAGCGTGAACTAGGAAAGGCATATGGATTCTTGACCTCAAAGCCCACCGATGTATTGTCTTCAGCAGGGCCACTTCCCCCAAGCCTCACTGGACAGCACCCCTAAGTGCAGACCAAATATTCAAATTCCAGAGCCCACAGGGAATATCCTCATTCAGAGTACCCCAGGAAGGAATTCATGCATGACATGCTAAAACTAGCCTACTACCCAGGGCTGGGGCCACCAAGCACCCTAGGGAGAACCTGCTATAGCCACTTCTCTAAACCAGGGTAATTTGTACCCACATTCGCAATACTTACCCTTCTGCTCACAGATAAGTGTAGCTCTCATATCTCATTTAAAAAAGCTTCTTTTTTCAGTAGCCGAAGACCATTACAGAAAGACACAACTGGTCAGAATTCAGAGAACAACTAACTCTCTATGGGGTTCCCAACAGCAACTGATACATGTAACACAAATTGCTAAACGGTCTTATTAAAAAAAAACAAAAAACAAACAAACAAACAAACAAAAAAACTGGAGCCAGATACTGGGGTGAAAGCTGAAAGATCAGAGAAACAGAACAAGCCAGCCATGTTCTTACCTCTCTGAAATCCTCAACCTCCAGAGAGAGAGACTTCCTGTTTACTTAAGCCTTATATACCTCTCTGTGTCCTGCCATCTTCCTTTTTCCCTAGTGCTGGGATTAAAGGAACATGCCACCATGCCTGGCTCTGTTCCCAGTGTAGCCTTGAACTCACAGAGATACGGATGGATCTCTGCCTCCTGAATGCTAGGAGTAAAGGCGTGTGCTACCAATGGCATGTGCTACCAATGCCTGACCTCTGTGTTTAATATAGTGGCTGGCTTTGTCCTCTGGTCCCCAGGCAAGCTTTATTGGGATACATAATATATCACCACAGATACATCCACAATACAATCCCTACATGTACAACACAGAGAACACCAAGAAGTGGTGTTGCAAAGACTTTAAGAGCCAAAGGACCAGGACATCTGCTCTGCTGCAAGATAATTTCTTGTCTATATGATAGGGAAACTGCACCCATGAAATCTCAACAATATGGATTCCTAAACAAGACCTAAAAAATGACACTACCAATTGACATGCCACTGTAAATCGGAAAATCTCACAAGGTCCCATCCTTAATGAGGGAGATTAAGACTCATCCTTAATGAGTCTTCTCATTTGTAGCCCTGGCTGTCCTGGAACTCCTTCTGTAGACCAGGCTGGCCTTGAACTCTGCCTCCCAAGTGCTGGTAAAGGCTTAGGCCACCACTGCCCAACTGTAACAATAATAATTAATGATGTAGAGGCCATAAATCTTAGAAGGCATGGGGGTTGTGGAAGGAGTGAGAGGGAGCAGAAAAGGAAGAAATTATGTAAATACAGTACACACATGAAATTCTCAAAGATATTTTAAAAATCGACATTTAAAAATCAGATGGTATTCTGATGGGAAGCTTTTTAAAGTAACTTGATCTTTCTTCCAGCTTTCAAAGTCCTTTATTCTAAAATTTAGTGTTTTGACTGTTGTATGACATGAGGACTTTCTTTCTGGTCCTGTCCGTTTGGTGTTTTTTATGCCTCTTTGACCTTAATAGGCATCTCTTTCTTTAGATGAGGCAAGTTTTCTTGTATAATTTTGTAGAAAATATTTTCTTTGCCTTTGACCTGGATTTATTCTCCTTCTATACCTATTATTTGTAGGTTCAGTTTTGTTTTTTAAATAGTTTTCTGTTCCTTCATATTCTGTTCATGGTTTATTTTTTTCTATTGACTTGAGATTTTCTTTGACTCGGTGATCAAATTCCTTTCCTTTGTCTTCAAAAGCCTGATACTCTCTTTTCAATTTGATCCGATCTAGGGATGAGGTTCTCCTCTGAGTTATTTCATTTTGACTTTCTGCTGAGATTCTCTTTATTAAATTATATTTTCGTATCTTGTATTGTTTTCATCATTCCATTCACAGTTTTCAGTCTTCATTCTGATACTTGTTTATATCTCCTTTAAGTTCCTCATTCATATGTATTGTTGCTTTTTAAACCATCGTTTTGTGTATCATCTGAGTTGCTTTTGTTCAGGGAACATCACTATGGGAGTACTGCGTTTTCAGTGAGGGTCTCATCTTCTTGGTTCTTTATGTGGCTTGTACTATTGCAATGGGACCTAGACATCTGCAGTTAGTTTATTGGTAGTGTTTCTGGGCATGGAAATTGTATCTCTACTTTGTTGACTTGATGTTTGGATCTGTGTTTCCAGTGACCTTCCCTTGTCAGATTGTCTTCAGCTGAATGGGGTTTAGGGTTTAGTGTTGATGCTCAAATGGGGTAGCAGAAGTAGTCGGGGCTCACCTCAGGCTGGGGGAAGTTTCTAAGCCCAGTAGAAGATCTTCTAGTTAAAAATGTTTTGACTCTAGTTAATAATCCTCAGGAGTCTGAGGGAGGTACTCAGGACTTGTGGAGAGGAGAGGCCCAGCTTAGAGGTTAGCTGCCATACAGGCACAGGTAGCCAGACTAGGCCTGGACACTGGATGTGGGACCAGGGCTAGATCTGATGGATTAAGGAGGATGTGTAGGGGGACTCACTGGGCTAGACCCTGGAGGAAAAGGTTGAGCAGGACCTGACTGGGTGGAGAGGTCCTTATGTTTGTTTAACTGTAATGCCTGTTCAGTTTTTATAATGTTGTATATTTTTCTAATCAGTGGGGAAGTATTTTTCTAATTCTTTATTGAAAACATTTTGCTAACAGTTTTGTTTTCTTACTCTCCAGGTTTTTAAGGAGGAAAAATACTTGAAAGAGGCCATGGAGTGCAGTGATGTGATTTGGCAGCGAGGTCTGCTCCGGAAAGGCTATGGAATCTGCCACGGAACCTCTGGAAATGGTTATTCCTTTTTGACCCTTTACCACCTTACGCAAGATAAGAAGTACCTCTATCGAGCCTGTAAGGTGAGGTCACCTCCATCCCTGCAGCCCAGGAACTTCAAGAACAGAGTCCAAAAGCACAACTCCTCTTCCCTCTTTGAGTCGACTCCTCCCAATCTGTGGCTGAGTCTGTTTCTTCTGGCACGGCCTTGTCCTTGGCCCTCTGTCCCTTTATGTTTGAGGGCATCAAACATAAAGGGTACTCTGAAGAACACAAGTTCTGGAGTCATACTACTTGGCCAGAATTACTGCACTATGTATAAGCATTATTTATGTGTTTGTTTGTTTGTTTGTTTGTTTGTTTGAAGAGTCTGAGCTAGCACAGATGGGCCTGGGTTTTGCTGTTGCCTAGGATGACCATGAACTCAGATCTTCTTGCTCCTTCCTGTCCCAAGTTCAAGGTTTACAGTTCTTTGGCATCATACCCAGCTTATACATATGCTTTATTGTCTTAAAGTACATTTATTCTTCAAGCCTCCATTTCTTTATTTGAAAGAATGGGGAGATGAGGACTACCTATCTACCAAGGGTGTTTTAAGAATTAATTGAGATAACATGCAGACTATCTACAATTGTTCCTAGTTAAATCCTTTAAGTTTCACATGTCAAACCTATACTCCTCTCCAAGTTTCTGTAGTCCTACATCCCTTGACCCTTGCCTGTTTCTCTACCTTGTCTCATCTTATACAACTTTCAGAGATACTACCTCACTGGTCTTCCCTCTCAATAGGATGGAGTCTAAACTGTTATTACCTATTTCCTTCAGCAGAAATGTACTTTCCCCTGCAATTCAGATAGCAATTCTTTGCCATTCAGTGTTAGTTTAACTATGACATTTTTCACAATCTTTAAGACTGCCACATGGGAGAATCATCAAGTTGTTTACTGAGTGTATTGATTGGCTCAAACTGGTGAAATACAAGCTCCATGATTGTCCTTGTCTAGGTTACTCTTCTATCACATGTACATCAGTAGCTCATGGCCCCAAATAGAAACAATTACATATGCCTTGAATACATTTTCATGAATGGCAAGAAGCTAGACTTGGTAAATGCTTGCTTGTATTTTTGTTACTATGCATGTTTCACATGGTGTAATTATGTGCACACACACTAAAATGATGGAAGAAAATACACCAAAATGTTTGCAGTAGTTGTTGATAGAAAGAGACATTATGGGTAACATATTTTTTTTATACCATTTGGACAATGAACACTTGCTACCGTTACAAGGTTTGTTTGTTTGTTTGTTTGTTTCTATCAACCCAAATAAAATGGCCTCCCCATTCTGGAATCCCTGAGGATGCATTTATCTATCATTTGCCCACATTCATAGTTTGATCCTGGGGTGCTGTAGAAGCATGTAAGAGGGCAGAGCCCAATCTAGTCATGGGAGATCAGAAAGTGGTGTGTAGGCCAAAACAGGAAGACAGCTGGAAGTTATACAGAAGGGGTTGAGGAATGTTGTAGAGATCGGAAACTGCCTGCCCAGTGGCCTGGAGGTTGAAGCACCCAAGAAAATGATACACAATTCATGGTTGCTAGATCATGGGGTCAGGGCAGAACAGGAGCTAGAGGCAGAGGTAAGTATAATACTAGATGGTTGCCTAAGTAGGGAGACATATTTCTTCAATAATAATAGTTTGCAAGTCAGTTAGGAAGGGAGTAGCCTGAGGAAGAGGATGCATTCCTTTTAGAGTAGCTAGTACAAAGCCACAGAGTCTGGAAACATTTTAGTGTATCTTGGAGAAGAAGTGTTTCAGTGCTGTGAGATGCCATGGGAGGGGGTGTTATGACTTAAATTCACATATGCACAAAGCAGTTCTCAACCTTGATTACACCTGAGGATCACTGTGGCCCACTCCAGATCATTTAAATGAAGAATCCCTCTTACCAGTGTTTTTCAGGACCTACAGATGATTTTTAAAAACCAGACAGCACTGAACACCAATTTGGAAAATGGAGGGTCCATGTGGAGACTCTTTAGAAAAGTTACCTTAGGTCTGATTTTGAAGAATCAGGAAGAGCTTGGGTTCCCACACTGGGGTTTATTGAACCACTAGTGAGGAAGTGATGAGTTATACACCAAGGCAACATCTGTGATATAAAAAGGAAGGCGTTAACTTATTTAGGATGTAAAACCCGTAGAGTAGAGAGCTAAGGGCTGAGGTATTTCCACAATGGAGAATTGTTCCAGCAACAGTTTAAAAGACAGTAAAGAGAGGAAAAAGCATCCCACTGAGCATGTTCTTCAGAAGTAACTGAGAGCAGGGGGAGCCAGCGGCCAAGTCTGAAGGCAGGTTCAGAGCAGGGATTTTGATTCAGATGGAGGAGGCACTTGGAAGGAACAGGGGCGTGCTGTTGAGTTGTGCTTTTCTCCTCTGGGTGTCCCTGCAATGTTTGAAGGTAATGTGACCTTCAGAAGCTGAAACAAGCAAGGAGAGGTCCCCAGCTCTCATCCTGCTAGGGGTTTGGTCAGACAGTACAGTCGGGAGCCCTGGAATCACTACTGCCCAAACCGGCCTCTTTAACTAGTTTTTCAGTGTTTATTTTTATTAATTTTTAACTGTGTGTCTTTGTGTACGTAGGAATGTGCATGTAAGTCCAGGTGCCCAAAGAGGCCAGAGGAGTCAGTTCCCAGTAAGGCTGGAGTTTCAGGTGTTTGTGAGCCACCTAACATGGGTGCTTAGAATTGAACTAGGATCCTCTGGAAGAGCACCCTATACTCCTAACCACTGAGCCACTGGAGCCCTTCTTCCATTCTTATAAAAGCATTCAAGTGTCCCATTTGTCTTAAGAAGAATTGTTTTTCTTTTCAGTTTGCAGAGTGGTGTCTAGATTATGGAGCACATGGGTGTCGCATTCCTGACAGACCTTATTCCCTCTTTGAAGGTAGGAGAATATGAAAAATAAAACCATACATTTGAATATCTGGTTCCTCTGTTCTGAGGACTAGCATTAGTACATTCAATGTTGCTAGAATAACACTTCAGAACTAAAACAAAATGATAGCAAGACTGTTTATCTTGCCTGCATTTTGCTTCTGCAAATGTCTTAAAAATTTATAGAACTTCTGTGAAATACATAGCAAACAAAACCTGGAAGGCTTACTGGATGGGGGGAGATAATAAGTTTTCTCTTCTGCGTTTTGTCTGTAATATATATATATATATTCTATGTGTTCATAGAAAACTTAGTTATTTAAATACACTTAATTCTTTAAATTATATAAAGAATTGCTAGTAACTAATATTAATGGAAAGTAGTAATTAGATATTAATAATTAGAAAAATATGAGTGAATATTGAAGACAGTTCAATATTTGTACTGATGGCTATAACAAGGCCATTGGTTAAAAACAACAATAATTAAGTCTGCCCAGCTTGATAAATATATAAGACAGAATGTAATATAATTAATAAGTATTATAACTATGATTGAAGTTAGAGATCCTTTTGTTTGTTTGTTTGGTATTTTTCAGACAGGGTCTCTATGTAGCCTTGGCTGCCCTGGAACTTGCTAAGTAGACCAGGCTGGCCTCAAACTCACAGAGGTCCATCTGCCTCTGCCTCTCAAGTGCTGGGATTAAAGGCGTGTACCACCACACTGGGCTCTCAAATATCTTGTGAGTGGTGTGTGTGTGTGTGTGTGTGTGTGTGTGTCTGTGTGTGTACTTGCATGCACATGTGCACATGTTTTGACTAAATTGCAAAGACTTCATAGCATTAGGATAGATTGATAATAACTTTAAACCACATCTTATAACTATATCCCAGAGGAAACTTCAGAAGCAATAAATAATTGAACTATATCAAGTCAAGTACATAGGCAATGGATTCTATCAATGCTTTTTCTGTATCAGTTGAAGTAATAAGGAAAAATATTTCCCAGAATAAAAACTTTAATTGTTTATATAATAAAATCCTGTGGCAGGCATGGTGGTCCCTGCCTGTAATCTCATCATACTGTTGGCTAAAGCATTAGATCATGATTAGGAGTCTGGCCTGGGATCTGTATTGAAGCCCTGCTGCAGAAAAAAAAATAAACATGAGTTGCATTTACATCAGACAACAGGAGTCAATATCTAGACTCTAAAGTGGAGGCCACTGATGCTTATACATTCAAGTTTAAAATAGCAGCTTTGCTCATTGGATCAAAGTTCCACGTTTGAACCTAGCAGCTCCCCTGTGGCTAGGAAATCAACAGGTGTTGTTTGCCCTCTGCCTCACCAATGCATGGCAGACAGAACTAGCAATAACCAAGTTCTTATCTGGGAGTCCAACAGACAGTACGACCCAGAGACAACACTGGGCTGTATCTGCTGCCCTCCTGGAGCACTCACTCCACCAGTGGCTTTTCTAGGGTCCTCTCAAAGGCACCACGGGCCACTTTTTGTTTCTAATGGGTTCTAATAGGTCCATGTTCTTTTTATTCTTTAAAATCAGCTTCTAGAACCCTTTCATCAAAAAACAAACAAACAAACAAACAAACAAACAAACAAAAAACTTATAGAGAAAGCTGGGACCAACCTAAATGTTCTTCAGTAGCAAAATAAGGACACACTATTGAGCAAGAAGGAGAGACTACTTCTACCCACAGAAAGATGTGAACTGAAGGAACCTTACTCAGTGAGGAAGCCAGAGGCGGTGCATGATTACACACACACACACACATACACACACACACACACACACACACACACACACACACACACACACACTCAATAGTAGAGAATGGATGGTATAATTGCCTGTCGGGTGTTGTTTTTAATGATGTCACTTTTAATTGGTGATGGTACTTTTCCGTCTTACAGCCCCTGTAGCAGAAGGGATTAAATGTCACTTTGTTTTATCAGTAACTTGTGTGGTTCTTAAAAGATGCACATTTTGCTTTGCAGGTATGGCTGGTGCTGTTCACTTTCTCTCTGATATCTTGGTACCAGAGACGTCACGGTTTCCAGCATTTGAACTTGGCTTTTTGCAGAAGGATTAAAAAGGTGCAAAAAGACAACTTACATACCCGTTGGACCAAAAGCCACCTGACTGATTAGTGCCTGACACAGAACCTACTGTAAATCCTAATAAAGGAAGGGAAAAAAAGGGCAAAAACCTCCACAAGCCCCTTTTGTTGCAAAGACCCCCAAATTAGAGCATGAGTGATAGAAACCACATCATCAGCATTTTGTGACAGCGTTTCCCTTAATGGTGAAGTATGAATTCCTCATATCTAGGCTCCCTGTAGTGTGCATGTTTCTTGGTGCTTGTCTGTAGATGTAAATTGACTAAATAGAAGAGCCACACTCGTCACATGAACTCTTAGCTGAGCATGTGTGAGTGTTTAAGGTGACAGCCACGCATTTTTGTATATAGTATCTAAAGTAGGGTGTCATCTCTATCAACAAAGAAACAGTTGTGTGATGTCTCTTATTAAACATCAGCTAGCAAATCTAGATACCCTGTGAGAATACTGCGTTAGCATTTTCCGTGGGCAGTCTTCAGAAGAGCATGAGTTAAAGATAGTTTCCTGGACCAGAAGGAAAGTGGGCAAGTCAGCATGCATTGCAGAGCTTGGGAGGCCACAGTTGACACCGCTCCCCTCTTTGTGTCTTGTGGTCAGCACAGCTAGTGACTAAATATTAGCAGTTCTCAGACATCCACCCAGATACATTGAAACAGGCTCCACCTGTTAGCAGTATAGCTTATTACTGTATAAAACAGAGTAGATACAATGCCAGCCGGATCCATCCATATCCCTTCAAAAATTTATTTCACATTTTGGTAAAGTCTGAATTTAAAAATAATACATTCCTTATTTTTCATACAAATTGAGGTGATAAAATAAATTCTAGGCTGAATTTATACACATAAGGAACAAAATATTCTAACCAAGACAATTATTAACTAGGTGATTTTTTAAATTATTTTTAAGGACATTAAGCTGGAATCACATATGGTTAGTAATGCTGTCACATAATTTTCCGAGTTTGATGGTTGTTCATGATACGAGTGGGCTAGGTTTCCTAAGCGTGTTTTGTTGTGGAGATACTGTCATAAGAGACAAAGCAGAATGGTGTAATCGTCTGGACCTCAGCACTTCCTTGGTGTTAGCCCTAGTTTTTACTCCTCTTATAAAGCAGGAAGAATGGAGGGCGTCTGAAAGAGAAGGCTTCTTCGTGCATAGATCATTTTGAGTGTTGAACCTTGCTTGTGGGGTACCCTAAACATCTGGCCTTCAGTTTCTAAGTGATGCCTCATAAGTCTCTTCATTACAGGTACTCTTGATTCTGAGTCATGACTATTCTCTTTCACCTTGGGTTGATTACTTCTATGTGTATAAATCCCCAAGATTATCCTTTAACTCACTTCCTGAGCCTGATAGCGGGCTTCTCAGGGCTGTCCAACACCTCATTACCTGAAGGCAGGGCAAACCATCCCAAACAGGCTAAAGGGAAGCCATTCTGCAGAACATTCTGTAGACCTCATGTGTTGTCTGGTCTCATCTGAACCGTACATTTTTCATCCTCTTGCCCATTTTATCAAAAATAACACACGGCAGAGCTAATCTTTGAGATCCTGATTGTTATTTCTTGAAGGCAGCTCCTGGGGCTGTGCAGGAAGCCCTTTTCTGACTCCAGGTGGCAGCTGGTAGGGCTCTGGCTTTGGCCAAGGGCCCTGGGCAGCAGTAGCAGTGGAGACTGCCCCCTTATGTTCACTCATACCTGTGTGACAAATGCTCGTCTCTTTCTGACCAACATGCTGAGGGACAAACAAAATTCCCATAGGATGAATGGGGAAGGTTTTGCTGACAGATTTCCTTTCAGACTGGTGGATTGCCACCTTCCTGCTCACCACTGTGTATCAACAGACGTGCATCTTAGCGGGTCTGCATGGACTTCCTTCCTCAGACCCACTGCATGAGCTGCTGTACTACAAAATCTGCAGCCCCCATCCCATGAGGCAAAGGAGAAATGGTGCGTGGGCCAGGATTGAGGGGTCACGTAAGACCATTTGAGAGTTATAAAGGTTTGAAATCAAATTTAAGAACATCTCACTTTTGTTTCCAGGCCTATTTCATGTCAACAACTGTATTCTTCTAAATGTGTTGAAAATTTAAAAATAATGTACACACAGAATACCATTTTGAAATCTGGAGGGAAAAAGTTAATGTCCACAAAGTGTTTGGGGTTCTTTGGTTTTGTTAATAAAAGACAGTTTTGTGGTGATGATTTATGGAATCTTCATATTTCATTTCTGTCTCAGTTCAACAGTGTGGAAGTGGGTAATTCTGTGGCTATCTTGGTCTTTACCTCTTGGTCACAGTCTAGCTTTTGTAGTTATAATGATCAAAATGATGTGACTAGGTATGTGGCAATACCAGCGATTTCAGTCCTACTCATGAGAAAGACAAATCTTTCCCAGAAACCCCTAGAGGAATGTTTCCTAGCCAGAATTTGTCACATCACCTTCTCCCACCATAGGACTGGGGAAATTAATATATATGGCTTTTCCTGATTATGTAAAAGGCAAGACTGGGGTTAGGAGTGAGGGGTTGGATATACCAGGTGACCATTGAGTTGCTGCATGATTCAGATAAGGAAGCATTTAAGAAGGGTAGTATAGAGCAGGGTGCGGGTCTGCTTTAAATGAATTATAAGTGTCTTAGCTACTTTTCTATTGCTCTGAAAAACCACCGTGGTCAAGGATAAAATAAAACATGTAATTTGGTGTGCATGGTTCCCAGGGGTTAGAATCCATGACCATTATGGCAGGGAGAAGGACAGCAGGCAGGCATGCAGGTAAGCATAGTGCTCTAGTGTGGTAATATTGTGTTCCCCAATATATTGTGCACCCTAATAAATTTATCTGGGGTCAGAACAGAACAGCCACTAGACAGACATAGAGGCTAGAAAATGGTGACACACACACCTTTAATCCTAGCCTTCTGGAGGCAGAGATCCATCTGGATCTCTGTGAGTTCAAAGGCCCACTGGAAACAGCTAGGCATGGTGACTCATGCCTTTAATCCCAGGAAGTGATGGCAGAAAGCAGAAAGGTATTTAAGGGGTGAAAACCAGGAACTAGAGCTGGTTAAGCTTTTAGGCTTTCGAGCAACAGTTCAGATGAGATTCATTCTGGATGAGGACTCAGAGGCTTCCAGTCTGAGGAAACAGGATCAGCTGAGGAATTGGCGAGGTGAGGTGGCCGTGGCTTGTTCTGTTTCACTGATCATTCAGTGTTCACCCCAATACCTGGCTCTGGGTTTGTTTTTATTAATAAGAACTTTTAAGATTTGTGCTACACTCTAGCACTAGCCGAGATGTTATACACTGATCCACAGACACAAGCAAGAGAGAGCTGACTAGAAATGGTGTGGACTTTTGAAACTCCAAAGCCCATCACTAGTGACACACCTCCTCCAACAAGGCCTAATCCTTTCCAAACAGTTCTACCAACTGAGTACCAAACATTCAAATATATGAGTCTATAAGGGGCCATTCTCATTCAAACTACCACAAAGAGTAAGGCTTGAAATATGGTGAGTACTATGATATCACTTGGGTCTGAGGTTGGCTCAAACTCTTGACTGGTGGCATCTGCATGGCCTCAAAATCAAGGAGTGAGTGCTGTGGGGCTGACCCTGGACACTGATGCTTCCACCTGAAATGCACTCACATGTATGTACTTAATGCTATGTTTCATATATGTATATATTTCACATATTCTCTAACCCTTATATGTTAGTCAGTTTTCCATCACTGTGGCAAAGAAACAATTTCAGAGAAACAAAGTTTATTTGGCTCATAACTTCATGAAGTTTCAGTGCATGATTGGCTGACCCCATTGCTATAGGCCTACGGTGAAGAAGAGCATCATGGCATTAGGAGCAAAGATGTGACAGAGCACTGACGTGTGACTGAGCAAAGATGGCAGCCAGGAAGCGGGGGTGCGGTGGGGGGGACAAGGACAACATCTTCTCCCACTAGGTGCTACATTCTATGGTTTTTAACCACCATCCAGTAGTCATTAATTATAAACCCATCAATAGAAAGAAAACCCACTGATAATGTTGGAACCCACAGGATCTAATCACTTCCCAGAAGTCCATTTTGCTCTTATGCTTTTACCATATGGCCTCTAGAGAACATCTTAGATATGAAACATGATGCTTCTTATGACATTATCATCTTGCCAATCTTGATTTGCCAAACCTTTTCAAGAAGGTGGTGCCCACAAGTACTAAGAGACCCATGTCACAAAGGAACACACATAGGGCTTCTTTTACCTCTCACATTGGCAATCATACCTGGCTAAATCAATATGTCTCATAATTATGGTGATCCTATAATTCATTCAAAATTATTCCTCACAATGCTACATTATTATGGCTACAATGGTTTCCATGTATAATTGTGCATAACACAGAAGCAAAGCTGGCAAAGCCTGATGGGAAAAATTAGTACACGAACGCTGAACATGATAGCAAAAGCCCCCAAATGAGTACTCAAACTTTGATCTAGCAACTTGTTTCTCATATTTTATTACAAAATATAGGTGTTCATAAAGAGAATGAGAATTACACCGCACAATAGTAGTCACAATAAAGAAAAAGTAACGTGAGCCAAACAAATCGGAAAAAAAAATATTGATTATAAAGTTCAAAATGGAAAACAGGACAGAGCAAAGCTTAGTAAACTCATAGGTAAACTGAAGGAATTATAATCACAAAATTTGAAATAATGGTGGGCCACAAAGGAGGAAGAGATCCACAGGGGCCTCAATTTATTCATGAGATAGGGCAATAGCATGTTCATGTTATTTTATTTGGTTGGCTCTCCCACAGTAATGGCAAGAAACTGAGACAGCATGGTGAAGATTAATATTTTATTCAAGTCTGTGAGTTGGCAAGAGATCTCTGCTTCATAGACACAGGCTCCCATGGCCTGGGTATGCTCAGCCTGACCCTTTGCTTCTAGACCAAAGAGAAGGTGGGAGAACCTTTAGGTCCCACAAGTAGACTCTGGAAGGGTCAGCCTGGTTCACTGGTTTCCTAAATCTTTAGCCACTGTGGCCCTGGCATTCTTCCTGGAGCTGGGACAGGAGGCCCACAGAGTGCAAATATTAAGGATTAGTGAGCATTGGCCATATGTTATCCAAAAATCCCATTCATAATTTTGAATGTATAAAAAATTGTATTAGTTTCAAGTAGAAAAGTGTGTTTAAAGGTCCCATCAAATGTGGCCGGGCTGCAGAGTGGCTGCGTGCTGGGATTGTAGTTGAGGCATCAGAGAAGACTGTGAGAACCCTGTGAAAAGTATTGGAGGACAATGGGCTATAGAGAGCTCTGTTTTTACCCCTAAGTCCCTTTAGAGAGGAGGAAGGCAGCAGAAACACTCCAAATACTACACAAACCCGGCTTCAGTGCCGTTCATGCCTCTACTCCATGTTGTATGTAATGAGTGTGTATTATTCTCTGAATGAAAAAATAAAGCAGGTTTTGTCTAGGACTGTTGGACCTTCAGACTCACTCTCCAAGGCCCCCCTCTCACAACTGTTACCTGCGCCCCTTTTGGCCTCTGTCCACACCATGGCGGCAGACACCCAGAGAGCTCCGTGTACTGCTCAGGGCCATGGTAGATTGTGTATGAGGCAACCTTTGTCCCCTAGCCCCTCTCACTACTGCCCAGCTTCATCTTCCTGATCATAGCACATCCCATAGTCTTCTCTACCACCTCCACCACATTGTGGTCACGCTGGATTTCAGACCTCTTCAACCCTCCCCGTGCCCATGTATCTCCTCATCCCACTTCTGTGGGAGGAGATGGAGGTACCGGGGATTCAGTGACCAAGCAGTCCTGCTGGGCCAGCACCTCAACAGCAAGCAGGGTGTTCTCTCTCTGTCTCTGTCTCTCTCTCATACACACACATTTAGGAGCATCTCTTTGAACCTTTTTACTCACCCTCCAGGGGCAACCCTCAGCTGCTCTCACCATCCTTACGGGAACCCCTCTGACCCCGTTGGCCCCTCTGTCTACGTGGTGGCCAGCACTCGGAGAGCTTTGCGGCCTCCTGTGTACCTTTCTCGGTGCTCCTGACTCCACTGTGTTTAACCCTGACACGTTTTCACTGTAACGCTGTGGTTCTCCCCACTCTCTGGCCTCTAGAGCTGGCACAATGAGCTGGATCTCCACTGGCGCATTAATTTTAGCTGTTTTTTTTTTTTAAAG